GGGTACATCCTGTTTAAGGAAAAGTACGTTTTTGCCTACAGTCTGAGGAAGACGTCACATAGTTCTCATCAAATATTGCAATAAGTGGGGAACATGCTGCAACTGTATAGGGAGAATTAATAAATTGGCGGATATGATGTATTATGAATGACCACCTCACAATCTTAAAAAGCTCATAGTAAAGAACTTTTTCAAGACCGAAAGATACCCTTCCTTAAAGTATGACATTTAAAGCAGGCGTAATTTGTTACCAAACGCATACAAGAAAGTTTTTCCGTTTATGTTTTCCATAAAATATATTTGAGTTTATAAAGACAGTCAAAATCGCTACTAAAATGCATACCATTTAAGTAGTTACTGTTTACAGCATATATGTTGTGTTAGCGATCAGAAATAAGTTCCTTAAAAAGCCTACATCTTATCATGAGTGAAATAACTTCAGAATAGCCTACACAATAATCAGTATTATAACCTGAGTCCATGCCGATTAGCGAAAAATTATCAACCTTTCGCAAATGTCGGCATATTGTACGAATTCTGGCGCGTACTGTGTGTTAAAGTCTTATGATCGGTCAGCACGCTGTGATACGCAGGAATGCCCAGGACCATTTATAACATTTTGGACCTCGTCTTTACAGTGGGTATCGTTAACTTTCGTTCAACTACGTCAATAGCTGTTTCTACAAAGCAAATAAAAACATTTACTTCCCAAAAGCACATTTGAGAAGCCAGCTAGGAGTGGAAATAAAATATGCATAGTCTGAGGTTCCCAGCATGATCATAAAATGAGCCATAATATTGTGTTAGAGGCTACATTGATCAATCAATGTTTAATCATATGGGAATGATTGCACACCGAAACAAACTCTGAATATACGGTCAAGCTTAAAAACCGTTAAGAAGCTGAACGCAACCCTCACGCGCTCTTAACGGTTGCGTTGCATGAAATTAGCACATGTTAGAGGAAAAGTTGTCGGCAATTCCTACAGCGCATCCAACTATTCATCAACCGAAAAGCTAAAACTGGTCACGCGAATGATAAAAAAATGCGGGTGAATTTTTTCCTATTGTTTCTTTTAGTACGGTACCGCAATGCATTTTCCCCATTTTAATACATCCGCTCATCTTGAAATAACAACAATCCTCCAAAGGTTGTTGCTTGAAAGATTTCCCAAATAGTGGGTGCAGTCTATCTTTCATGTGGAAACAGGGTACGGATGCAACGGTGCAGCATTTACGGCACGCCTGCCTGTGTGCAACTTGCGGGGATAGATACACGAGGCAGTGGTTGACCTCGTTATTTGCAATGGGCGAAATGATATGTGCATAACTACCTAGGACAGGTGGTATCGTCATGGTTACGCTAGCTGACTTTTAGATTAAAAAGTAGGACTGCAGATCAACTAGTTCAAGATATTACCCGATAATTACTTTCATGGCTATACACACCTCCCTGAAATTAAGGTGTACGAATTGCACCGAGGGAGTTTTGCGCTTTCGGCCTCTGTTGATTTTTCAACAAACCTTGGACAATTACTCATACATTTTGCAGTCCTTGGTGGCCATAGCGAATATATTGACCGCAAAGTCAAAAGAGAGTAGATTCGGGAGGTGCATTAAAAAAAGGTTTTTAATTTTGCGAAATTTTTGAGTGCCTCAGAAATTAATATTAGTTTCCTCAGGTGCAATCCGAAAACTGGCATAATGAAATTCATTATCAACGACGCAGTGGCCCCAATCGTTAGAACGTTGGAACTCTGAGCAACTGGTGGCAGTTTTGAGCCCCGAGTGATGCGCCACCTGGGTTTGGGCATGATTGACTGATTACGGTGAAGAAGCCCGAAATGGCCATTCCAGTCTCCCCTGTCTTTGCCAAAAATATTCATCTGCTTACACTACTAGCCGCCGTGTGTCTGCTGACGAATTCGAGAGTAAACTCCTACGCAGAACCAGAGGAGTAAGCTCCATTAACGATTGGTGAATATTTAATAAGAAATACTGTATCCACTTAAAACTCATAGTGTAAATATACGGATTACTTGATCAGATTCGTAGCTTTTCGTCTATGACTAAGCTATAGGCATGCTAAATTATTCAAAATGCGTATGCTGTTCACTGCACGCA